TGCATACAGGAGTGCACGTGCTTGCTTTAAAACAGCCCCTTCTCAGAAGAGCAAATCAACACTTTGGGTACCACATAGGTCCCTCCCCAGGTAGTGTTCCCATGACCTAACTACCGCCCAACTCCAAAAGGGTCTTCTCTCTGGGGAAACTCCCAGCACACAAACTTTCAGGGACTCATCAAACCACCTCCAAACCTTGGTAGCCTTGTGAGGTCACATCCCTTCAGAGAGACTACACCTATGCTGTCTCCTAGTCAGTCAGACACTGCAGCATCACCTTTACACAGAGCTGGAGTTCGGGATCAAGCAAATTGCCAGAGAGTCTGTATGAAGAGCAGCTGGTACTCAGTAGAATGATGACAAGCTGGACAGTGTGATGTGTGGGGAATAATCAAAGCAGCAGTTGTGACATATAGACCCCATTTTCTGACATTTGGAGCCCCCATTCCTCTGATCATCAGATCCAGATTCATCAGAATAGGGGCTGTAAGTCATAAAACACCCTTGAAGTCAGTATTCAGTTCCGGTAGATCAGGCATGAAGCACCCGTCTGAAGTCAGTGTCCAGTCCGGTAGACCAGAGTCCTTTCCTCCATGATCACAAAATGACTTCTCTTTCCGTTTCCTGGAACCTTTCACTTCCAGGACCCACAGGAATGCAAAGCAAGAGGGGAGGCAAGACAAGGAGAGAAGAGCACTGCCTTCCTTCGATGTCACTGACATGTTATCATTATACCCAGCCAGCGGCTAATGCTGAATCTTGCTGCCCTAGCCATTCCATCACCTTGATGACTAACCCTAGAAAAATGTCAGTATTGGTCATGCATATTTTCATCTGACTAGCCTATTAGGTTTCCATTTATTGTCATTCTACCTTTATCGCAGTTTAATAAGGATCAGGATAAACGATTAGGCCGAACAGATGTTTATTCAAGGAGAAATAACTCACAACATAGACAGGTAAACACCAGCAGGTTCCTGCTTCCAAGAATTCCTCTGGATGTCCTCCTGTCCCAGTGCGCCTTACAAGAGAGCTACAAGAGAGCGAGAGAGCATTCCCCTGCTCCTCCTCAGACCTAGTTCCCCAGGTCACTTCCGCCCCTGGCTCCACCCCCCAATGGGCGTGGTCAGTGCCACAGAAGGAGACAAAGTAAATATCCCACTACATACCTTAGTTTGGGGGTTTCATTCACCTTAAGTGGGGATCTAGGTGAGCACAAAAATCCTGCCTGGGCAGGCTACCCTTGGAAATGACCCTTGCAACTGCCAGCCCTCTAACTAGGTCACATGAAAAAAAAAAAAATGATGAGTAGTATTTCATTAGGATCTTCCAGCTTCCATTTAGGCATAGAGGGTTGAAAAGAACGTCACTCCTACTTACACAGCAAAAAAATGTAAAAGCTGATTCACCTACAACAGAATTTTTTTTTTTTCACAAAGCCATCAGTAGAGACCACAGGACAATAGTCTAGTTAGGATAGAAGCCTCTAGGACAGGTGACATGAGAGGTGGCTCACCTATGGCAGAGCACCGGGGGAAGATGAGGCCACTGTACACAGGAACAGGGAGATAGCAGCTAGACCTCTGTAAGGAATTGATACATTTTAATGATTTTCACATTTTGATGATTTAGCAGAGCATGAAAGCTAGAGCCAGCAGAAGCGACAGACACAAGGGAATTTGTGCCTGCTTTCTACTACACTGATTCAGAATGCTCAGAAAGAAAGAAAAAAAAAAACTATTGGGGTCAGGGTCTCCAAGGACAGGAAGCCTGTGATGGCAGTGCAGGTGCACAAGGGAGGGAGGGACTGGAGATGGGAGGGCTTATTACAGGCATAGGGAAGGGCAGCAAGCCCACATTGCAGGAGTTGCAAAGAACTGGAAAAGATCCTCCTCTGGGCATGGCAGGAAAGTATCTCCCTCTCAAGAGCCATTAAAGGCACCAGATAGTTTTTCATGAGGAAAATCACTGGGGAGGCTTGTAGTGAGGTAGTCCTTCTGTAGCACTGACCACGCCCATTGGGGGGTGGAGCGATGGGCGGAGGTGACCTGAGGAAGGAGGTCAGAGGGGGCCAGGAAGGCGCTCTTTCTTTCTGGCGTGACTCAGACAGGAGAGGATCGGGTTGAATTTCCTGGTGTTCATCTGTCTAGGTTGTAAGTTATTTCTCCCTGAATAAACATCTATTCGCCTATTTGTTTATCCTGATCCTTATTTACCGCAATAGAGGCTGAGCTCCATGGCCCAGGGACTGTGGATGAATGAGGAAAGCAGAGTACCTCTTCCCTACAAGTACCATGTCCAGTGTCTAGTGACAACCTAGTCAGGGGAAGGGGTAGAGTGAGAGCTAAATTATTCTCTCAGAGGCAGAGGGTGACCAGAAAGCCTAAAGCTCCCTACCACACAATAAACAAAATCGCAACCGTCACAAAGAGACTAACATGACTTAACAGGCATCTGCAACAGGGATAAAAGGGAAATAACTGCTGACACAAAACACCATTAACAGTTTTGCTCATCCAAGGACATTGCTAATAGAGTGAAATGTGTAGTGATACCATGTGCATACTCTAGCAAATAAAGCTTGTTTGAAGAGCAGGGGGTGGAGCTAGCCACTGGTTAACCATAGAGGTCTGGAGGTCTATACAGACAAACAGGAAGTGAGTGATAAGGAGGGAGGAGACAGCTGAGTGTTGGTGGCCCATGCCTTTAATCCCAGTACTCAGGAGGCAGAGGCAGGCAGATATCTGTGAGTTCGTGTCCATCCTGGTGTACAGAGATAGTTCCAGGACAGGCTCCAAAGCAATACAAAGAAACTCTGTCTCAAAAAACAAAAAACAAAACAAAACAAAACAAAACAAAACAAAAAAAAACAGAAGGAGGAGACAGGAGCTCAGTCTCTTTTTGGCTAGGAAGTTATCAAGGTAAGAGGTATGGCTGTGGCCTGCTCCTTTGTCTCTCTGATCTCTCAGCATTTTCCCCGATATCTGACTCTGGGTTTTTATTATTAAGACCTATTTGAACTTGTACTACAAAAGAGACAAGCAGTAGATGGGGAGAAAATACAAACAGAATGTGTGAGTAAAGAGAACATGTAAGAGAATATAATGAGGAACAGAAAATCAGGGGACCTATGAGAGAAACGGGAAAGACTCCAGTGGAAGGTTCATTGGCAGTGAGCATAAAGATTCTGTCTTTATTTTAAATGAATATGAAAGCCACAGTGAGGTCCTCATTTATCAGACTGAACTCCAGACTGGCTGAGGCAATGCTCATGAAAACACAACATGAAGGATGTCAGCTGAAAAATCTGTGTAGCCACTCTGGGAAACTATTTTAGCAATGTTTACTCAAGCTACATCCACTCAAACCTTGTAATCTACCCATTCTGCTCTCACAGACCCAACAGAAATCAGCATGTCTGTTCAGGAAGGCATGCCTGGTTACGTTCAGAATAGCAAAATTCAGAAAACCATATAAATAAACTGTGTGAATGTAAAATGAAATACTATGCAACTAAAATAGCAAATTATTGCAACACGAAACAAACAGATATGACGAGCTAAAGGCTGAATCCTCAACGGTTTGATGAGCATCAAACCACTGTAGTAGACAAAACACGTCCACAAAGATGAAGTCAGAAGAGGGGGTGAGGGAGCAGTATTGACTGAAAAGAGCCATGACCAAGCCTCTGAGCCACTGAAATGTGTTTAATGGGTATAATGCACTATATTATACCCAACATTTACATGGAGTATAATAAGTGAACGTCATTCCACAGCTCATCTAAGAGCTTGGCTGCACATATAGTTACCTCAGAGCAAGGGCTAACAGCGAAGCTCAAAACATGAACAGAGGCAGGGTAGGAGTGCAAGGACTTGCCCCAGCCCCTGAACCTGTGTTCCCTATCAGCCTCCAAGGATGAGAAACACATGCCATGTCCATAGCCTGAGACAGATCAGATTAGAAGAAACAACTTCTACTTTTTTAGGTTCCAAACTTTTGCAGTGTGGAAAGAAAATCTTTCTACTTTTAAAAAAATGGCAAGCAAGCATGTTCCCTCTAATATTTTCAAATAGGCATTAGTCTTTAGATCAGTACCCTGATATCTGCCAGGTGTTTTTTTGTTTTTTGTTTCTATCAAGAGAATAAAATGTCTTTTCTGTGTCCTCCTGTATTACTTAGCAATAAACCAAGATGACTACATCTTGTTGCACGTGAACACAATTTATTTAATGGTCCCTGTGACTGCAGAGGAATGTGAAGACACTTCAGCAGAACATACCTTCAGTTTTCACATGAGATAACACCTCTGTATTTTCCTGTGTGCAACAGACACCCACAAGCCCTCCTTCCAACCACAAGCTCTCCAAGTATATGAAAGCCCCCTCACTGGGTCAGAGGAGGAGCAAAGCCACATCTACACCCTCACACCTTGCTGAGGGCCATACAGGGCCACCAAAGTTGCTCTGTATGAATCTTCTTAGCCTTTTCAGCTCTTCTGTGTGCATGCAGACTGGCTCAGTATTAGACAGTTCCATCAAGTCGTGTCTGACAGCACCTATGGCAGGTGTTAGCTGTCCCCATCAAAATTCCAATACTACCACCCTGTTACAGTAACCTTGGGTTGAGCTTCATGAAATTGCTGATTGCTAACCTTTTTTTTTTTTTTTTTTTTTTTTTTTTTTACCCAAATGAATTGCAATATCTTACTGCTCAAATCAACAGTTTTCATCAAGATGTACTTTCCAGAGAGTGAGCTTCAGGTAAAAATTTTGTTTGTTGTTTTGGTTTTCATTTTAGGTTTTTGAGACAGGGTTTCTCTGTGTAGCCCTGGCTGTCCTCCAACTCACTTTGTAGGCCAGACTGGCCTCAATCCAGAGATCTGCCTGCCTCTGCCTCCCCTCCTGCATGTTGGGATTAGAGGTGTGTGCCACCATCACCTGGCATTGGTAGATTCGTAGTGTACCCCTTGTATCAAAGCACCCATTAAAGAGACTTACCTTGGCTTTCAGATCAGCGCACAGTTCCTGCTGTCGTCTCCTGTCCTTAGCCAACATGCTCTCCATTTCATGAACTGCACAGGCCTCAAGGAGGGTCAGCATGGCTTTCTGTATAAAGTCTTTCCTACTCTTAGTCCAACTGTCTATCAGGATTCTTCTCTGCTCTCCAGCAAAGTGGTACTGGTCATAGTATTTCTCATGTTCTACCTACAAAGGTAACAGATGGCAGTTACTTATTGCTCTGAAACGGGCCCGTATTTTATGTCACTGTTACAAAGTGGATAAACTTCATTATACTCAATGATTCTGAACAACTGGGGACAAACATCCTCACCATAACCAGGAACAAGACACAAGCTCCACTCTTCAGAGACTCTGCCTAGTGAGTATAGTCACTTGATTTTCTAAGGCCTCTGTTTCCTCAGTAGGATAAAAGCAGGCCAGGTTGTTCCTGAAATGACTCTTGATTCTAAATGGCAATGTTTCAACAGAGAGCAACCTGCCTCCCATCTGTAACTTCAAATATCCCACTTTTAAAGCAATTTGGGTATTTTAAATGATTACATTATGTTTCAGTTAAACAGCATACTTTGATGAAACATTTTTAGTGCCACCATAATCTTAGAAAGTCACCATTTTGCTTTCAGAGCTAAAGTGCTCAGTTGTTAGGATGCTTACAAGTAATTCTGGTGATGGCACCCTTCCTTCTCCCCAACCCTGTGAGGGACATGGGTTCTCGCACCCATAGCAAGTACTTCTTCCAATGGTGAACAGTAACCATAGGGGAGCACAGGTCTCAGGGAACACTCAGAGACAGGGGGAGTCTGGCATGTCTAATATCCCTGCAGGTGACTCTGAAAATGTCAGTCACTGCTACAAGTGACTTTTGACTTTTCTAGTATGGCCCACACCTCTGAATCTGTAAAGCAATGCTTTAGGAGGAATGAATTAGTATCACGATAAAGCAGGCCAGGGTCTCACTTTAAACAGATACAAAACACATTCTGTAAAGTTATTAGCTTTCTTCTATAAAGCTAAAAATACACTAAACATTTGTCAAGCATAAAGGAAACAAAGCACACACCATGCAGAAATATATGGTAATCAATCCAATGGAGAAAGTAAATGTAAAAATCTTTATCACATCAATAGTACTAAGAAATAAAAATATACAGTTATACTTGAGGCAAGCAGAACTAATAGGGAATGGAAAGAAACTTCTAACTTGATCATAAGGAGGAGGGGAGAGGAGGACATGAGGGAGCAGGAAGATTGAGTCAGGGGAAGAATAGAGGAGAGCAAGAAAAGAGATACCATAATAAAAGGAGCCATTATAGGCTTAAAGAGAAATCTGGCATTAGAGAAATGTTCAGAGATCTACAAGGAAGACTCCAACTAACAATCTAAGCAATAGTATAGAGGCCACCTTTAATGCCCTTCCATGATAATGAGATTGATGACTACTTATATGCCATCCTAGAGCCTTCATCTAGTAGCTGATGCAAACAGAAGCAGACACCCACATCTAAACACTGAGCCAAACTCCTGGAATCCAGTTGCAGAGAGGGAGGAGTGAGGAGCAAAGGGGTCAAGACCAGGATGAAGAAACCCACAGATAGCTGACCTAAACAAGGGGGAGCTCATGGACTCTATCTAGGCTGATAGCTGGAAAACCAACATGGGACCAACCCAGACTTCCTGAACATGGGTGTCTGTTGGGAGGACTGGTAGTCTGTGGGGCCCCTGGTAGTGGATCAATATTTATCCCTAGTATACAAATGGACTTTGGGAGCCCATTTCACATAAAGGGATACTCTCTCAGCCTAGATACATGGGGGAGGGCCTAAGCCCTGCTCCAAATGATAGGACAGACTTTGAAGATCCCCCATGGAAGGCCTCCCCCCTCCCTGGGGAACAGAAAGGGAATGGGATGGAGGTTGGGAGGGGGACAGGGGAGGAGGGGAGGGTGAGGGAACTGGGAATGACATGCAAAACAAGCTTGTTTCAAATTTAAATAAAAAATATTATCACAAAAAATAACTTTTTAAAAATTTATTATGAGTTACTTAAAGACCAAAATTAAATATTTACTACATGGGGACCCGACTCAGCATCAATAAGTCTGATGCGGGGGGGGGGGGACCCACATCCCTCTCTCTGGGTAGCTTGCCCAGGGTAGCAAGGAGAAAAGCCCTGCTGGGCCTTCCCTGCAACAGTCCAGTGCTGTTATTGTGAGCAACTCTATGGTGGAGTATGGGAGAAAGAGGGGGTAGAGGGGGGGAGGCAGAGAGAAAGAGAAAAAAAGAGAGGGGGAGAGAGGGAGAGACAGAGAGAGAGAGAGAGAGAGAGAGAGAGAGAGAGAGAGAGAGAGAGAGGAGAGAGACAGACAGAGAGGTTCATGTCCTGTGGAGAAAGGCAGATCTGAAGAGGTGAAGGCAGTGGGGAGTGGGCTGAGGTGAGCAGCCTGCTTGCCACCCAGGACCGTGGTGGTGACCTGTGGGCCTGAGCTGCTGCCAAGACCCATATCTGGGTCCGTGACCCTGCAGCAGCCCAGGTCTGTGTTGATGTGTCTGTGGCTCCCGATAACACTGAAGGCCAAGAGGATAGGCCTGCACAGAATTGGTCCTGCCCCTCACTGGCCGCAGCACTAGGGAGAACAGGTCCTACACCTTGCCTGGGCAGCACAATAGCGCTAACCCTGTTTGAGGGGCCACAGGCAAGCTGGCCCTGAGGACATGAGAGTGAGAGAGCTGGTTTGAGAGCTGACCCTACCCCTCACCAGCTGCAGCATCTGGAGAGTGGGTCCTAAACCTCACCCGGGCAGCACTGTAGAGCTCACCCTGTTGGCGGGTGGGGTGAACCAGCCCCAACAAAGTAGGTACGGGACATCTGGCCCTGCCCCTCATCTGCCATACAACAGTGTCAGTAAGGGAGAAATGCCCCCCTTACCCCTCACCACCTGTGCCAATCGGGAAAGCTAGCCCTTAAGTCATGAGAGTGGGAGAGCTGTCCCTGCCCCTCACCAGTTGCAGCTTGGGAGAGTGGCCCCTGCAGAGCTGGCCCTGGTGGTGTAGGTGTGGTGAGCCAGCCCTGGGGATGGGAAAGGAGGAGAACTGGCCCCCACCCCTTGCTCCTTGCTGCATAGGGTGAACTAGCCAGGGCAATACTGGAGGGCTCACCCGGGTTGTAAGGACAGGGGAGAGCTGGCAGGCTGACCAACCCTGCAATCACCCAGGCTCAGAACCAGGGCTATGAGTTGGCCTATCCCAGCATCCACTCTGTCCATGATCTTTGGGAGAACATGAATGGGCCAGTCCTGCAGATCCAAAGCTGTAGGATCTCCACAACACAGACAAGATATTCAAGAGGAGTCCTAGTTACGGCCAAGTATCAATGGTGTAGCAAAACCCAGAGGCCTCAATTCAGACGGCTGACTCTTTCCAATGAACACTTTTGAGCAGAGAGGTATGGACTAAAGGGTATACTGTGTAACTCACTGTGTCACACTACAGCTTCCACAGTGATATTTTTCTTTTTCTCTTAAATTTTATTGCATGGGGGGGGTGCAAGGTCAGAGAGCAGAGAGAAGGGATGGGGAGATGAATGGGATCAAGATGAGTGATACGAAAGACACAAAGAATAAATTAAACTGTTTTTAATCTCTAAAAATTAAATTAACAAAAATAAGTATTTACTACACAGAGTTGGAGAATGGAATGGAGAAGGATAAGAAGGATGGGAAGTGATAGCCACACTAGCTGTGTGGTCTTTACTTCAGTTTCTTCACCATACATTATTTGATAACAATGGTACTTCATCCACTGTCTCATTTACTGAAGGACTGTCACAGGACTGACAGGAAGTAATTTCCAAATGCATGTGAGTGCATACAATTCACTTCTTAATTTGAGACAGTTGCAAAAGTGAAATGTGATATTTCTTAGCACAGCTCACTTAAAAGCTAAGTCTGCACATGCTTGTTACATACGTGTTATAAGGTAAGTTATACTGAAGTAATAATGAGGACACGGGAACTTCTAGATTCTTGCCATTATAGTCGTGTCCACAACAGAATGAAGTAATAATTTCCCAATCTCTTTTCCAGTAACTTTCAGTTGTGCCTTTGCTTCCTGAAGTGGTGTATGTGTTTGGGACTGTGTGGGAATCGGGCAGAACTGTCGTGATGGAGGCTAGTAACATTTCCCAGGATAAATGCTGGTTTTCCTAGGGCCTAGGGCTGAAGTGGATCAGGCTCTGTCGGTAAGAAGCAGGCATTCCAGTCTCAAGCAAAAGCCAGACACAGCAGAACCTCCATAGTGCGCAGGTAAGCAATGGTGTGAACTCCAGGGCTGCTATGTAGCTGGGAAACTATGAAGGTCTCCAGGAAGGGAGGTAGAGTGTACTGACCCTGGCCTTCCCCCAGACTTTATAGACTTAAAACATGACCCACACAGGTTTGCAAACTGTAGGAGTATCTTCTATAGAGGGAGAATAAAAAGTTCTCAGAGCGCTAATGTCTAAGAGTTTTCATTGTTGTGAAGCGACAGACACCATGACCATGGCAACTCTTATAAAGAAAGCATTTAGCTTTTGTTCGGACATCTTAGCGAGGCTGCAGTGGTCATCGCCACTCTCCGAGCTTCATCATGCCACCTAAGGATGACAAGAAGAAGAAAGATGCCAGAAAGTCGGCCAAGAAAGACAAAGAAAGACCCAGTAAACAAGTCTGGTGGCAAGGCCAAAAGAAGTTGTCCAAAGGCAAAGTTCAGGACAAGCTACATACGACAAACTCTGCAAGGAAGTACCCAATTATAAGCTTATTACTCCGGCTGTGGTCTCTGAGAGACTGAAGATTTGAGGGTCCTTGGCCAGAGCTGTCCTTCAAGAGCTACTACTTAGTAAAGGACTTATCAAGCTGGTTTCAAAGCACAGAAACCAAGTAATTTATACCAGAAACACAAAGGGTGGAGATGCCCCAACTGCTGGTGAAGATGCATAAACAGGTTCAATCAGCTGTACATTTGGAAAAATAAAACTTTATTAAATCAAAAAAAAGGAAGAAAGAAAGAAAGGAAGGAAGAAAGGAAGGAAGGAAGGAAGGAAGGAAGGAAGAAAGAAAGAAAGAAAGAAAGAAAGAAAGAAAGAAAGAAAGGAAGGAAGGAAGGAAGGAAGGAAGGAAGCATTTAATTGAGGGTGGCTCACTTAGAGTTTCGGAGGTTGGATGCATTAAAACAAAAGGGAACATGGCAGCGTGTAGGCAGGCATGAAGTCTACGACTGTCACACTGGGGGAAGCTTGAGAAAAAGAGACCACAAAGCCCACCCTTACACTTCCTCCAACAAGGCACCTAATGGTGCCACTCTGTTTGGTGGCCATTTTCTTTCAAACCACCATGGCTATTTAACAGACATACATTCGTGTTACTAATTATGGATCACTAAACACTGCAGTCACAGGCATATAGGATATACACAGTCATCATCAAGATGCACTCACCAAATCATGCCTAGATTTGTGAGGAAAATATCTTTGTAACATGTCCAAGTACAGAGTCCTTCTGCCAAGGAGATTTCCAGGGTACTGGTCTAAGACAGCCTGGTAAATCCACTGCTCTTCTTCACTTAGTTGGAAGTTTCTGGAAGCAATAAAAAAATGTCACAAGACAGAGGTGAACAATCATGGCATTTAAGGCTATTAGCAAATCATGACAATTACAGAAGATGAAGCCTTCTTTGAAGACAGGGTCTCACTATGTTGTTCAGGCTGGTCTCAAGGGAACCCCCAGCTTCACCCTACAATCCCACTCCCACCCCTACCCCCACCCCCCCACCCTCACTCCCAGGAGGGAAGACCTTGGGAATACACCAACACACTCAGTTGAGGCATTTTCCCTCAGCGTTAACCACTGAGAAGAACTAAGACCACACACAGAGGGTATTTTCAGTGCTTGGTTTGATCTTGCATAATTCCAGGCATAGCTTGAAGATGTTGGTAAGACACAATATTCTCTTGATATGTGTTGTATTTTGCCTTTAGCAATATTTTAAAAGCTGTCACCAGTGAATGAAATAAACACTAGAAAAATATTTATTAGGGATAAAGATTAAAAAGAAAATTTTCTTATTCAACAAAGTTCCCATTTCTACACTGGAGACAAACATAAAGAGATGAAATTTTTACATAAAGGAGAATAAAGCAGTTATGTGAGGTTTGAGCTCCAAGGCAAGTCAAATAATCTTTTACTTCATTCTCTTTACCTCATGCTTTGTGGATTATACTACAGACTGGTAATGGAAAAGAAAACAATGATGCTACATTTCTGATAATGAGTTTTCATAATATTTGCTCTGTGTGTGTGTGTGTGTGTGTGTGTGTGTGTGTGTGTGTGTGCATGCAGGAGGTACACAGGAGGCTGTGGGACAGCTTAAATAGAGTTGATTCTCTCTACCATTTGGGGTTGAAATCATTTAGGGGTTGAAATCAAAGTCATGTGGCTTGAAGGAAGCACCTGAGCAAAGAAATCACTTGTAAACAAGACCCTGCGAGTTGTCCAGTCAAGTGTCCAGTATATTTCAACATGCCTAGTCCTGTCCCACCACTTTTTTGTATATATAATTATTTAACTTTGTTTTATGTGAATTGGTGTGAAGGTATCAGAACCCCTGGAACTGAAGTTACAGACAGTTGTAAGCTGCCATGTGGGTGCTGGGAATTGAACCTGCGTCCTCTGGAAGAATAGGCAGTGGGCTTAACTGCTGAGCCATCTCTCCAGCTCCCCTTGCCAGCACTTCTAAGCACTGGGATGATTCACAATCAGCGTAAAGTATTGACAAAGTCCTATGCAAAGTGAAAAAGTTACATCGTCAATTTGAACTCTAAACTGATTAATGCCTCTTTATATTCTGATTTTATTTGCATGTTATTATTACCCCTGTTAAGTAAATTAGAATAATCAAATACAGATGCAATCAGGGGAAGTATTAATAGTAGCGAACATTTCTTGGATCCAAGATGGATTGCCATTGTTTGTTTCTACTGTATCAATGATCTTACAACTTAGATTGTGCAATTCACTTTTTTCAGATATCTTTCTGCCTCTGAAAAATAATTTTAAGAAGATAAAACCCTCTTTAAGTGAATGAAACTAATGGGAATCCCACCACCTCATACAAGGTCACTTAGTTCCTTCAATATAAGGAGCATAAGAAAAAAATTTAAAGAGAGAAAATTCTCCGTACCTACTACATAAAGAGAAAAAAAAAAAAAAAAGAGGGTGAGACAACGCCCACCAAAAGAAAACTGTTCAATGTGTCATAATAATCTAATGCAGGAGAAATATTAAAATGAATTCATTCATGAACACACCAATTATTTTGGTTCCAACTGGATTGGTTCTGCATGTGCAGACAGCCAAAGGCTTCTGCAAATAAAACATCTCAAGTAGGGAAATTAACCCAGGAGAAAAGCTTTCCTGAGGACACTTGGCATTTAAAATGCCCTTGGGTGGTCAAGGACAATGCCTCAGGTCCTCTCTCAAGGACCATTCTTATTCACTGTAGTGTAGATGAATGTTAACAGCAATTATCAAGAGAAATTCTTCAGTATCATCCCACAAGCAACAGAAGAAGAGAACTAAAGTCCATGCCCTTGTTAATGTTTTAAACTATTTCCAAAATCAAAGTGCCTTGAACACAGTTGAATTTCCACCCTTATCTGATTCCTATGTTTGTGGAATATTCTCCAGAGGGGAAAGGGATAGAACTTTTATCCAGTAAGTTTCTGCCTTTTTAACTATTATTCATCTATACAATAGTGGCTGTTTCTTAGGGGAGATCCCTATCATAAGATGCCAAGAGTCTGGGCTGGTGACATCGAGACCCTTCTCTTCTGTGGAAAGTTTCCTGGGCTACAGGAGAAGCATCCCCATTCTGAGACCCCCCCATGCTGCTCCCAAGGCCAATCACAAATAGCAGCTGAATGATAGACAGGTCAGCAAGGTTTACCCAGTCAGTTCCCTCCAATGGGGCCAACTCTGACATCAGTCTAGCTCAAATGACACCAGAGTCAGCCTCCACTAAGATGCCCTCCTGCAGAGGCATTTCTCCTCCTCTCTTCTGCCTCCCTCAAAGCCTTCTTAGAGCATCCTCTAATAGTTCTATTGTTCTAGGAACCATCTTGGCTTTGTTTCTGCAGAAATCAGCCTAACATAATCTACAATGAACCTTTACACATAATTTTCAAAACCAGTTTGAATGGTTTAATAAATGGAGAAGTAAATTTAAACTAATTACTTTGATGGCTTCGCCTACTGAATAGTGGTGCAAGATTGTAGCTGTCCACAATGTGTGAATAGCAAACATTTACTGAAATGCTTTCCAAATACAAGTACACATTAAGCAGTAAACACTGTTATAAATAAACACAGCAGCAGCAGAAGAATTTGTGGCATTTGGTTCACTTTTATAAATTGCTTGAATATATTAATTAGTTGCTATTTTAATGACATTAAAAGTCACTTAAATGTATGAGAGGACTATAAAACATTTAAATTGGATATTTCAAACTAAGTATGCCCTGTATAACAATGACATCCATTTTGACCTTCCAGATGATTTGAGAAGCTTCACATCTCAACTAAAATTACACAAGTTGCAAGTTATTTTTCTAGTGCATAAAAAGTAAAATTTAAAAAACATGTTTGAAGGAAATACCATGTTAAATATCATATTATCATTTCTAGAATAGTTATAGCAGTTTCCAGAGAAGCAGGCCTGTATCTTAAAGCAAATACTCACATAGGCAATAATAACAGCACAACCACATATCTACATTAGATTACTGTTTGAGGGGAAAGTGAGAGAATTCATCTACACATGCATGTACATACACACACACACACACACACACACACACACACACACAGAGCTGGCACAGAAAAATCCGAAAGGACTGAATGCTATAGCAAACTTCCTTAGAAAGTTTCTTAGAAACTTGGCCTTTTAGCCACTAAAATGATACTCAACATATGACGGGATATATCATTCTGTAAATATTTTTCTCATATTGGTTAATGAATAAAGCACTGTTGGCTAATAGGAAAGCAAGATAGGCAGGACTAGGAGACTAGGTGGAGAGAGGAAGTAGTAGGGAGGAGTTCCAAGATGGAAGATGGAGAGAGCAGAATGCCAGCCCCTCTCTCCAGTAAAATGAGGCCACATAGAAATACTTAGGTTAATAGAAATAGGTTAATATTTAAGACAGAGCTAGCTGATAAGAAACCACTAACAGGTCAACAGAATTATATCAAATACAGAGTCTCTGTGTATTATTTGGGGCTGGTGTGGCAGTGGGACCAGGCTGGCAGAAAAAAAACTACTCATAACAAACATAAGGGTATTTCTAAACTAAAACTTGGACATTTATCTCTTCCGATCAAACCTTGACTTTTTTATTATTACAAAAACAAGTGTGTAAAATAACTAAGAGTTAGCTCCTACCCTACAAAGTTCTTGTTCAAATTAACCAATTAACTGGTGATCATGGCAACAAACCACACTAAGTTACATGGCTAATAAAAAAAAAAAATCTCTTACCTGAAATAGAAATTTGTTTAATTTTTAAACTTTTCAAGGAAAACACTAAAAGTATTATAAATTTTTGCAATTAAAAATAATGCATACAGTTGTTCAAGAGATAGATGACCTAGAATTTAAAAGCACTGCAGAAGACCCAGATTCGATTCCCAGCACCCACATCGAAGCTCACAACAATATGTTACTCCAGTTCCAGGGGATCTGATGTCCCCTTCTAGACTCTGCAGGCACCTGGCAAGAATATGGTGCACAGACCTAAGTACAGGCAAAACACCCATACATGTAAGAATAAATAAATGAATTAATTTTAAAACATACCTCGGATTTAAAAAAAAAAAAAAAAAAGCTTGTTAACTATTTACCATTTCTATTTTATTGGTCTATCCAAATTTTGTACTTAAGTGTGTTTTGTAACTTGGTTTTCCTTAGAGTACACCCAGACTTCTCAGTGTGCTTGTTACCAAGGACTTCTAGCAGGTCGGGATTTCAGTATGTGGAGAATGGGACATGTGGCACTCAGTCCCCACTCACTCTCCTCCACCTCCAATGTTTCATTATGATTTTCTAAAAGAAGAGGCAAAACTGTTCATTCATAAAACAAACAGATCTAAACTAGGAAAATTCAGTTTGACCCTGGCTGATTTCTACAAAATTTCATGTGCTTGAGTCATTCCAAAAAGCATATGTTGACTCACTATTCACTAAGCTTCTACTTATCATAGCGACGGCTTCAGATACTGACACTTTGACTCAGTACCAGGTATAAAGCAACACACATGGGCCCACTAAGGAGACAACATGCCTGGAACCCACAGAAACAGATTGGCACTCCAAACCCACTGTACTCAGTGTAGGCAATAAACCCATCCCAACTTAAAAAAAAAAAAAACCGCAGCCAATGCAGACTGTCTATTCAACACCCAGGAACCATCATCAGGAGAAAGACTATAAAAGTTACCCTGTAGAACTGGCAGAAGCAACCAGTCAGATGCACAAATGTCAATATAGGGATGCAGAACTATACACAACTAAGTGACTCTGAATTCAGAGACAAATACACAAACTGAAATTTTCATGGAGTATGAAAGCACTGTCTTGAATGGTACCAACAAAAATGATAAGTGGAAATAATTAAGTTGAAAAACAAGACACTAGAGCATTTGTGAGGGCCCGTTGTTAAACGGCATTCAGATTCAGATCTCAGAATATTAATTATGAGCCAACAGTATAAAATTTAATATACCCATCAACAAAAAATTATAAATTACTTGTTATCTTGCTATAGTAGTCTACATATTGACTTTGGATCTGACACAGCTAAATGGACCATCACACAATTATGTCTCATCTATATGATTAATTCATCTAAATGTGAGGAAATTAAAGCCACAATCTCTTTGGAATCTAAAACAAGCAATTAAATTCAACTTCGTGTTCTTAATGACACACAGACTAAGCAGAATCCAAAGAGCTTTGCCTGCATGATGAATGGTGAGGCTCTATTGTGTTCAGATTGCTTTTATAGTGTGTTGTAGTAAATGAGACCATTCTTTAAAGCCATGCTATCCAAGAGGCTAACCACCACACACGTGCGTGGCTTGTCACAGCTATGTTAGCATGATCTTTCGTATGAGCATGTTTAAAAAACTTCATGAAAAAACAGTGTGTAAAGGCTCATTAATAATTCTAAAATATTTGTTGTCTATTGGGATTATAATATCTTGGAAATATTAGTTATAATATATTTGAAAGATTCACCTTTTTCATTTTAACTTTTTAATAAAACTGGTTAAAATTTTTTTAATTACATATGTGGCTCACATATTTCCATTAAGCAGCACTGATCTAGGATGCAAGGTTGACCAGCTTTCTAGCATATGTAAATAGCTTTCTTATTTAGATGGGCAGAAAGGACCTCATCCACTGAATTACAAAGGGCTCAAAACTAGGGAAATGGCCCTCCTTCCTCCTAACTGTGGCTATTTAATGAGTAAAACAGCTCTCTTGTTTGTTCCTTTGATTTTTCCATGGCCTGAGACAGGGTCTGGCTATGTAGTTCATGCCTCACCTGACAAAACACAGCTATTAAAATGAGATAAACTCTGATTAAAGTCACTGGTACTTGTCATATCATGCAGTAGGTACTCATTAAATATTGATGATCTATTGAACTTTTCCCTTAAAATTTTAAGCCCATAATTTGCCTTATAAAATAAGAACCAAATATGACAAAGTGTTTATAATTTCACTACCTGGGGTGACTGTGGTTACTATTTATTTGAATGACTGGGTTTCCAGTCTTTTTTCTGTGGATGTACAGATGTAAATGTCAAACTTTAAGAAACACCAAGAGAATGTATATTATATAACCTACTTTGTGACCTGCTTTTTACTTCCATAACATATTACAGCTAGCACATATTACAGCTATTTGTGTCATTAAAAATCCCTATGGATTAGAAACAGCATGGTACTATGCTGTATGGACTCAGCCTGCCAGATGTCACTGCTGCCTAATGTTTGGCTATTTAGGTACTATGGCTGAAAGAAACTCGGGGAAGAAAAAAGTTTATTTCATCTCACAATTTATAGTCTATCATAAAGGGAAGACAAAGAACCTGGAGGCAGGAGCAGATGCAGAAGCCATGGAGGAGTGCTGCTTACTGGCTTGCTCCCTGTGGCTTGCTTGGCCTTATTTCTTATACCACCCAGAATCATCTGCTGAAGGGTAGCACTACCCACAGGGAGGCAGGCCCCCCACATCCATCATTAATCAAGAAAATGCCTCAAAGACATGCTCACAGGCCAATTCCTCAATTAAGGTTCCTTTCCCCAGATGATGCTAATTCGTGTCAAGATGATAAAACACTATTTTGCTACCAGTAGGAAGGGAAACATTAATATTGAAAATACTTAGTCAAATATTTATTTCATTTTAATGATTTTGCCTTTATTATTTCTGATGAGACATATTATTATCTTTATACTAATAGAGTGTTATGCATGTATGTGTGTGTGTGTGTGTGTGTGTGTGTGTGTGTGTGTGTGTGTGTGTGTGTGATGTATGTGTGGTTTATGTGTGGAGGCTAGAGTTGGTGTTGGTACCTATCATTCTTCAATTATAGGGTGACACAAGGTCTCTTGCTGAACATGGAGCCCACCAGTTGATTAAGACTAGCTGGCCAGTGGGCTCTAGGGGTCCTCTAGTCTCTGCCTCTACAGGGCTAGGATTTCAGATGTTGTCACCACACTTCTCTTTTATGTGGTTCTGGGGATCTGAACTTAGGTCCTTGTGCTTGTGTGACAGTCACCTTACTGTCTGAACTATGTTTCTGGCCCCATATAAAACTTTCTGGTGTCATAGTGACCTCTGAAAAATATTTTCTGGCTTTGAAAAATACCATGTATCAATAATATGTAAATAGCCATTTCCCCTGGCTATTTTTAACCCTGGGTAAAATTATGATATGTTTGGCCATTCTCACAAGGACAGTATTTGAGTTTTTTTTTTTTTCCTTTCTTTGATAAGTAGAGAGGTTCATAGGTTGCTGACCCATTTGTATTTAGAATAACAACTGAGAAGTTCCAGGCCACTGTGACACCTCATTACCCAGCATCTGATCTGCCACCCCTACCCCCAACTCAGTCACTATGGTACATGCTAAGTAAGCCTCCTCTCCACCCAGGACAACTCTCTCCTCCTCCTCCTCCTCCTCCCCCTCTTCTTCTTTCTTTCTCCCTCTCCTCCCTCCCTCTCTCTCTCTCTCTCTCTCTCTCTCTCTCTCCTCTCTCTCTCCCTTCTTCTCCTTTCTCTCCTCTCCTCCTCCTCTCTCTTTCTCTCTCTGTGACTCCCTCCCTCCTACTCTCTGTCTCCCCTAAAGTTTATACCTTACTAGATTATCCCCATGAGCATCAAACATATTGTTATTGCTCCCATTTTAACTGAAATTAAAACATAAGCGAGTGTGTGGAACTTGCCCTGTAGACCAGACTGGCCTCAAACTCACAAAGATCCACCTGCCTCTGCCACCCAAGAATGCCACCACCACCCAGCTACTACATAACCCACTTGCTGAGTGAGGACAGGTTCAACAGTACATCATTCTCCTAGCATGCAAGGGGCCTTGAGTTCAACTCCCAGCAAAACACACACACACTTAATACAAATAATAATTTATAATAATTTGCCATTCACTCTTATATCTTGAACCTCATCCAATGGTTCTGTTCATCTTTCCCTGGTTCCTGGACACTGAAACCGTGTCAGACGCACTCATTGAACATGGGCTACAATGTTATGTCCAATGTCTGCATGACCAGCACTCTCAACCTACTTCATGATCTCACATCAATGTCACTGTCCAAGTAAGAGATAGCCCCAAGGGTTCTTGTTTCTTTTTCTTTTTCTTTTTTTTTTTAATTACAGAACGACACACACTCAGCCAGGCATGGCAGCAGAGACTTTTAATCCCAGCACTCAAGAGGCAGAGGCAGCTGGGTCTCTGTGAATTCAAGGCCACCCTGATCTACAGAGTGAGTTCTGGGACAGCCAGAGCTACATAGTGAAACCCTAATTCAAAAATAACAAAAAAATGAAATGAAATATGAATAAATAAAATATGCACACATTCCCATAGATATTCCCCAAGACCCAACAACTAGAAACAAAAAGGAAAATAGTCATATTAAATTAAAGTGAGATCCTGATAAATTGTAAGTTGAATCAGTGTTATGATTAAGTGTGTCACCCACTGTGCTGATTAGAATGTATTCATGTGCCTTTATGGGCTTAGCAGCAGATGACTGTTCCAAACCACTTTTAGATTCAAGTTATCTTTCCTCATTCAAGAAACCACCCCTGAAATTTATTTTTTACTGTTCCTCTTTTCTCCAATTAATATATTTCTTCCCATAATATTTCTTCCCATAATACTGCCAGGCAATGCCATCTTCTAGACTCATCTAGAACCTCCTTCATGAACTTTTTCAAAGGAGCTCAACAGAGACCACTGTCAATTAAGGAGTTTTCAATAAATATTCATCAAATAAAACACATCACCATTTATATTTAAAGTATTCTGGGTAATATACAGGCTGTTATTAGAATTTATGAGTTTCTGTTTTTCCAAAACAGAGATCCACCTACCTCTGCCTCCTGAGGGCCGGGACTAAAGGTGTATGTTACTCCACCAGGCTCAATAAAACTCTTATAAGCCTTTATGTCTAGGAAATACTTTGAAAGCAAGAAAAAGCAAAGTGAAAGTACAACAGTCTTTCCAGCTGGGTATATGGTGCATGTCTGTAACTCCAGCACTTGGAAGGCTAAGGATGGAGACCATAGATATGAGAGCAGAGGACACTACAAAGTGAGTAGCAAGCCACATATGGTACAGACTGAAACCCTGTCTCAAAAACCAAAGGCTTTTGTGTGATTCAGTGATAGAGGACATACCAAGTATGTTCAAGGCCCCCAAGTTAGATCCCCAGCACCACAATAAAATAAGAAAATAAAGTAAAATCAAACCCATTCTTTTTATTCAACAAACTAGGTCAAAACTGTACTGGTTATATTGCAATCACATATAAATAGAAAACACTAAATCAGAAGTATAGTGACCCTGAACACAAATTCAGATTCAGCATTCAGGACTCAAGGAGTTATAATTGATCACCTGTGTATGTCTTCTAATTGCAGATCAAAGTCTTCAAGTTTCTTTTGATATTTCTCTGTAAAGTTCCAGAATTCATTAAGGACTGATGATTTCAGATCAGGGTATGGGCACTCCAAAGTCTCTAACTCCGTGGGCTGTTCACTGAGCAGGTTAGCCTTTTCATCTGTACAATAATCTAGTAACTGAAAGGAATTATTATTATATTTAACAAAGATGAAAAGTGGGTTGAAAGAGTCAACCGTGCGTCGCATTACACTTACCTTCACACTCAAGTCTGAAAGGTCTTTTTCTATTTTCTGTTGCTCCTGATCAAGTCTTTCAAAGTCAGCGTTGGATTGTTTCCTGACACAGTCAACCTAGAGGATGCAGCATGTGGACAGGAAGTGTATAAATTACTGCAATTCACTCAAGGTTATTTCTATTGAAAGACTCAGTCTCGGAAGCCAGTAGGGGGTAAAAAATTAGAGGAGGGAAAATCCTTTTGAAGATCTGTGAAGAAAAGAGCTGCCAGCCAGCCAAGGCTCACCAAACAAGCAAGCCTAAGTGAGGGTTCCAGGCCTATCACCAAAATTGGGCTCACCACCTAATAATCACAGCTACCCTGTGTTGTGATGGTAATTGTTGATGGTAAAACTTCAATCACACCTTCGCTCTCAAGAATTCTTGCTGCTAGTCTACAGTACTAGGTATGGCTTCTTGTCTAGGCATAATTAAGGCTTTTGATTATCTGTGAAAGCAGTATAATATAGAGGAGCTGACAAGTAGAGAGATGAAGGTTCAGACCCTACTAGCACAACACAAGTAAACAAAGGCATGCAGCGGAAGAAAGAGGTGTTAAGAACAGGGTGGTGGTTAAGAACAGAGACTTATTTGGTCAACAAAGAACTAAAGGGCATTAGGTGCCACAGCCTGACAGAGAAAACAGGTCACCTAAAGGCTCTGAGACAGGAGTAGGTTTGATATGTGAAGGGCACAGCACAAAGGCCAGCCTCTGTGGGACCAAGCTCACGTTGAATGGGACAATGTCGTGCAAGAGATGTCATTGAAGAAAGAAGAAGACTCAGTGGACAGGGTTGCAGGTGGGTTTAAGGACTAAGAAGAGCCTGTGGGGGAATTGCAGTAGTCAGACAGTTTGATGTTTCTGTACTGTCAGGGTCTCCAAGTGTGCTGGGAGGAGGGGCAAGGATGAAGGTAGGAAGATGAGTTAAAATGCAGGCCCTGGACACATCCAAGCCCATGTTTAAGATGTTGAAGAGTCCTCTACTTGAATACACAAGGCAGGTGTTTGCTTCAACTGTTCTATCTGGGACAAAAACAAAACAAAAAACAAAAAACCCATATTACATTTTGCTTTTAAAACATACTAACCTTTTCCAGAATCATTGCTGAATTAGACCCCTTATGGCAGGGTGCATGCTGGGAAGTGTGGTGCTGTCTCTTCAGGTCTGTTCTTAGCTGGTGAATTGGGTCGATCACAGCTTTAAGATATGTGCACCATTGTTCTGACAGCTCTTCCTCTGTGTGAAGTGAAATTGAATCAAGGAGACACAAAGTAAAGGACAGATTGATAGTTTACAGACTTTTCATGTTTGTTTATAAAAAAAATAATCAGACAGGTGTTACTATAAAAAGAGCATGAAGCGAGTGGCCAACTTTCATTAATTCCAAACAAAATTCCCCTTTATATGTAGGTTCAAAAAATAAAAATAAAAACTCACCAAAATTCATAAGCTCACAAAAACATTCATTTCCAATGCTCTCTTCATTGAGACAAGATTTTATTTCAGACTCCAATTTACATCTGAAACAGACATGATCTCAATCAATTTCTTTATAGTCATAATCATGCATATAGGCTTAAATGTGAGTGGGGTAGGAATAGTCCATCGAATTTGGTTTTGTTCATCTGCTCATTTATTCAAGCCATGTTCCTAACATTGGCAGAAACAACAGGATGAGCATGGACAAGTGGCCTCCACAGATCTTAGCAGCATACCACACTAATTGACCCAGGGCACCAGGAAGCTACCCCACCTGGTCAGGATTCAGCTCAGAAAGACTCAAGGCAGCAGGTTAGAGATGAGGAGTAACAGCAGCAGCTGAAGAGGAAGAGAGAGGCCAGCCTGGACCTGCAAGAAGGCCACTTAAAGGTCAGAGATGATGGAGTCTGACTCAGGCAAACAGGAACAAAACACATATTTTGGTTTTACCCAGTAATGACCAATAAATCTTTATAATCTTTTACTACATTTTTAAAGATATAATCATTTCTGGAGTAAAACCATTCTCACCTCTAGGTGGGCATTCAACACAATTTTTGTACCCCTTGTTTAAGTAGCTAAATCAGAGATTTGTTGTTGATGTATACTTTAATATTAAAATGGCATGACAAAATAGTGACAATTATAATACTTTAATATGATTATTATTTTCATTTTCACAAACAGGTTTCTTTTCTTTAACTACCTGTATTTTATATAATTGGAATAACAGCATATTTAATAGCTCATGCTATAATTTTATGAGGTTATTTTATTTATCACTGGTATTTTACACTATTTTCAAATGGTTTTCGTAATTCACGTTGTAATACTAGATAGTGTGCACATGCATATGCCCCATCACCTTTCAAGCTAAGTCATATATGAATAAATCTGAGAGGCTACTATAGACGATACTTCTCTATTTCCTTGAAGGCAGCTTTTTCCAGTAATGGTGGAGGGTTTGCCTATGTGTTCGAATGTGAGCACATATGTTTATGTGTTTGGGTGTATGTGCAAAGAGGTCAGCCTGAGGTATCTTTCCTTAGTTATTGCCTACCATTAGGAGACAGTGTCTCTCACTGGCTTGGGGGTCACTCAGTGGCTAGACATTCTAGACAGTGAGCTTGGGATCAGTCCACCTTCATCTCTGCAGCATTGGGTTCACAAGAACATACTATTCTCCCAGATTTCCTTTAAACCTTGTTTCTGGGAATAAAATTAAGCCTCATGTGCATGTTTAGCCAAGTACTCTTTCAACTGAGACTTTCTCCAGCCCTTGTTTCTAAGAGCATATCTGCAACTGTTACATGCAAAGTGGGTGCTTTTTCTTTTTATTCATATATATATATATATATATATATATATATATTGCTTGTTTGTTGTTATTATTTTGAGACAGAGTTTATGTGTGTAGCCCTGGCTGTCCTGCAACTCACTCTGCAGAGCAGGCTGGCTTGGAATTCACAGAGATCTGCCTGCCTCCTGAGTGCTGGAATTAAAGGTGTATACCACCACTTCTTCACCAGCTAACCCATCTACAAACGGTTGCTTTGCAGTCAGTAATACATCATCTACAAATGATTGCACCAAAGTTCACTTTGTGTCACAGAAGGAAACAACGGCACATGCTTCTGGGAACATGTAGCAGAGTCCACAGGGAATGAGATTTGAGTAAGCCTGCTGAATTTCAAATAGAAATTTACAACTTTAAATATTGAACACATTTGATATTTGGAAGTTCTATCTAGTTCTCTAAGCACAGATTTCAAGGTCCTAACCTGTGCCTGTGCGTGCGTGCGTGCGTGCGTGCGTGCGTGCGTGCGTGTGTGTGTGTGTGTGTGTGTGTGTGTGTGTGTGTGTGTGTACATGTGCACAGTAGAGGCCAAAAGTCAGAGGCTGATGTTAGGTGTCTTCTTCAATCAGTCTCCACCCTATTGTCTTTAATTTTGAAAGATTTATTTATTTTATGTGTTTGTGTATTCTGCTTACATGCATGTATGTGCGCCCTGCTTACACGTACGTAGTAGGTGTACTACACACATGTCTGGTGCCATTGAAACAGGGTTTCCGATCCCCTGGGCCTGGAGTTACAGACAGTCGCCAGGCTCCCTGTGGGTGCTGGGGTCCCGACAAGAGCAACAAGCGCTCTGGTCAGCCGAGCCATCTCTCCAGCCCTCCCCCCTTATTTTCTGAGATAGGGTTTCTCACTCAACCTGAAGTTTACCAACTCAGCCAGACTTGCTGGCCAGCCATCTCCAAGATCCTCCTTCCTCATCTCATCAGAACACTTGTGGGCCATCGTGCCAGGCATTTTATCCTGTGGGTACTAGAGATGGAGCTCGGGCCCCTGTAGCTCCCTCCCAAACTCTTTACCAACTGAACTATCTTCCAGCCTGCCTTCCTGGGTTTTATTAACAAGGCTGGAGGAGTAGATCTACTTTGATTTGAATCGACCCTTTTGGGAAAAAGAAAAGCCTGCTAGCTCCCAGATGATGGAACACAGGAAACAAATACCAATTTCAGTCCCAGCTTCCCATATGCTAGCTTGTTTAACTTTTGCAGACACTTTAGCCCTCTAAACCCAGCCAGAAGTCTGACCTACTTGGTATGGTTTTTTCCCAGATTGAGGTTAAACACAGTAACTATTAACTTTGATGGTGACTTATTACCAAGAAGAGGTTAAACACCATTGTACCCCTTATCTTCTGCAGGTTGGAGACCCTTAAATGAGGTCTTTGGGTAAAGCATAAGAATCTTTTCCTTATTAAGGGAGTACATATTTTGTGTGTGCATATGTGTGTATGTGTACTAATTTTTAAATTTTTCTGAGACACAGTCTCATTTTATAGCCCAGGTTAGCCTGTAACTTGCTATTTGGCCCAGACTGTCCTCGACATTGTGGCAATCCTCCTGCCTCTGCATCCTGACTGCTGGGATTATACATGCCATCCAGCATGCCAGGCAGATTTTCTGAGGTAGACAAATACAGCACTTAAACTACTTATTTGCTCTAGGTCCCTACATCCTCAATACATCTAGACACTTCCCTATCATTAGAGAAGTTTCTTGGTGCTATTAGTTTTTAATTTCACTGAAAATTCATTTAAATTACCTTACATTCTAGAAGAACATGGAAAATGATCTTAGGATTCTTATTTGGTTCAGTGTTTAGTCCTTATAAATTTGCAGATAGTGAGGTCGTCCTCACTGGAGAGTTCCTTGTCCCCAACATATGTCTTTCCATCTCTGTCAACAGAATGAGTTTCCATAATGCTATGCATATGATGCATCTACCTGGCTCAAGACCTACTCAGTCCACACATTAGGGAGGATGTACAGTGACCAAAATTTATAAAATGAAAGAGAAAAGGGAACCCTTCCCAGTGCCCTCCTTTGTGTGTGCTTGCATCAATGACCACTATGATTAAAGCTAACAAGTGGCTTTCCTTTTTATTGTATTTCAAGTTATGCAAATTTTCAAAATGTTTTTCAGTGGCCTTGATATTTTTTTCTCTATTAGAGGTGACATTTGAAGGGTTTTGGTGTATCTGATTTGGTTTTTCTAGTTTAACTCTATTGTGCAGTTTGTAGCATTTTGTTTCTCTGCTTTAAGTTTTATCATAATCTAAACCCCTGATCAATCATGAGCCTCGCACCTCTCATATAGAGATCACTGCACAGAGTGCAAAACTCTTATTGACATGAAATCACACAAGTCCAAAGCAAAGAGAATGAAATTCAGAAACTTAACTTAGAGTAAGATCACAACAATGTTCTATCTTCCTAAGAATAAGTACATGTAATAACATTTTTTAAAGCCTAATGTATAAATATTACATTGTCCAGAGCAAATGGGTTAGCCTTAAACAGTGAGAAAGACATCTGCTTTCTCTTTTTGGTCTTTACTTTTGAAACCGAAGTTATTTTTTGCAGAGTTTACAATTAAGTTCAAATATCAAATTATTATTTTGTCTTAATTCATCTTTGATTTCTACAAATAACAACAGGATCCAGATCAAAACCAAGTGAGTCCTGCCTGGTACAATATCAAGCCAGCACGGAGAGCTCCTTTGTATTGAGTGCCCTCTGTGAAAGGATGACGGTGATGCTTGCCCTCAAGGAGCCTGTGTTTTACAGGGAAGAAGAGTATGCTTGCCCTCAAGGAGCCTGTGTTTTACAGGGAAGAAGAGTATAAGTCAAACACGAGCATGTGATGTGTACATACACACGGCCAAGCCAGGGATGGGGAGTGCAAAAGAGAGAGTGGCTAGTAGTGGTGACTGTCCTTTAGCTGTATCAGGAAGCAAACACACAGCAACACACTTCCTGCCTCCCAGGGTAAGCTGAGAAAATGTGACTCCAATTCAAACAACTCTGAATTTTCATTGTGTGGCTTTACTAGCATGGACCATTATTGACGAAAGTCAATCATGGCAAGGCACAGGAGTTCTCACACATTACCACTAACCTGGGTGGGGTGGGATGGGAAGGGAGAGGATCCCCAGTCTCACCTGACTCCCTTCAGCCGCTCCTGTTCCTGCCACCACACTTGCTTGTGTTGTTTGATCAACATTTGTTCTTTAGCTGCCTTTGAAGTCTCCACAGCTTTTCTGATCTACATTTACAGGACGAACAAAAGAATAACAATGCTGAAGCTTTTAAAAACAATTTTTTTTCCCAGATCCGGGGAGAAGTTGGGGTGGGGGTGGGGGAGGGGAGTAAGGCAGTGAATATGCTCAAAATACATGCATGAACTTCTCAGAGAATTACTAAAAAACAAATCGTATTTTAGAAATGTATTTTCACAAAAGGAAGGTTTCCTGTTTTTACAGTCATCACCGGCACATCTTCTAACACACAATCCACCTGAAATACGTACTGAATTAAGCATCAGGGAGAAGAGACATGTGCACCAGTGGTGCATGCCAATAATCCCAGCCCTAGGACCATGGAGGCGGGGGAAGCATGAATTTAAGCCTAGTCTTAGCTAAATGGCGAGTTTGAGACTGTCTCAAAAAGCACAATATCAATGAAAAGAAAGACATGATGGCTTCCAATACTGGCCAATTTGAGAACCCCATTTAAGGTTTGTAAAAAGAGGTGAAGTTGTTGTAGGTGGGTTTTTTGTTTTGTTTTGTTTTGTTTGCTTGCTTGCTTTTTTAAAAATATTTACTTATTGTTACTTTGTGTGTATGGGTGTTTTGCCTGCATTTATGTCTATGCACCACAAGCCCACAGAGGCCCGAAGAGGGTGTCAGATCCCCTAGAACTGGAGTTACTGATGGTTGCTCGACACCATGTGGGTCCTGGAAGCCAAACCTTGGTCCCCTGGATCAGCAGTGAGTGGACTTAGACACTGAGCCCTCTTCCCAGCAGTGCCATTCTGTTTCTATCAAATAAGTAATACCCCCACCTCATTCCCAAGGGAGCTTTCAAGAGTTCCCATACATTTGTCCCCATTTTGAAAACATTTCCTGCAAGGTATTTAGGTAATATTATTCCCATTTTATACATGAGGATGCCCAAAGGCCAGAGGATTTGGTTCAAAGATTTAGTCAAAGCCATAAAGTGTGTAAATATCGCACCTGTGGACCCTTGGTGTTGGGTTGGATTTAATCTGAACCCTCATTGTAAGATGGGAAAGGTTCATTAAAACTGTTGTTAGGGGATCTGACTGTAAATGGAGGTTTTTCTCCCACCCACCAGCTCCCGAATAAACACTCAGAGGGTTAATATGAATTATAATTGTTTGGCCGATGGCTCAGACTTCTTACTGGCTAGCTCTACATATAAACCAACCCATTTCTAATAATCTATATTTTACTACAATGGCTCATGGCTTGTTACCTCACATCTTGCTTCCCTGAAGGCTACATGGCATCTCTGACTCCACCTCCTCTCACTCCGTATCTCTGTCTGGATTTTCCACCTAGCCTTATTTTGCCTGGCCATTGGCCAAATCAGTTTTATTCATCAACCAATAAAAGCAACGCATATCTGTAGCATACAGAAGGGCATCCCACATCACCTGGCTTCAGTCCCAGCTTCAGTACTCAAGAACAGGACCTGGAATATGCAACTGCAATCATTCAGCTTCACAGCTTTAAAAATAAACCTTTCAGAGTTAGGCAAATAGTTATTATAAGGTACTTAGGAAAGAAGTGCTGAAAGATTATGGAAGAGGTAAACTTAATTGTTCAACTAAATGTAGTGTTCTCTGAGTTCCATGGCCTTTGAACATGCTGCACCCACATGCTTAGGGACTTTGAAGCCAACTTCTGTCGGGCCTGGGTCTGTTGCCACCTCTCTGATCTGTGCTCATGCATAACACAGCCTCTTTCTCAGATGCCCCTTTCAGCTGACTTCTAGATGGGTTCAGACAAAGAAAGATGCCAGCCATGGAAGTTGAGAGGGAGGGAGACAAGACAAAGCCAACACATCATCACCCTCCTCCTAAAGCATTACCCACCCCTCCTTTTTCAGAAGATGTAGCACAAGTTCTAATAGGTCTTAATAATAAAAGCCCAGGGTCAGATATGGGGGGGAGGAGTAATGCTGAGAGAACAGAGAGATAAAGGAGCAAAACTACAGCCACCTTACCTATTCAACTTCCTTGCAAAAAAAGAGACAAAGCTCCTCTCTCCTCCTGCCTTATCACTTCCTCTTTCCATCCAGCCATATCACTTCCTGTCTGTACAGACATCTGAACCTCTATGGTTAGTTAGTGACTAGCTTCATCCCTCTGGTCTTCGGGCAAGCTTTATTTATTAGAGTATAAACAAGATATCACTACAAGAAGGTTCTGGAGTTCTCCAGTGCACCCAATTGTCCCTGGACATGGTTCCAAATAGCTCTGAGGTTTCTCCCATGGGATGTGGTACCACCCTACTGCTTTGTTTCATCCCTCCCATCTGAGGGTGGCAGTGACTTAAGCGGATGTTCACCTCTATGTTGCCTCACAGTCCCCTGCCTCTTAGCCCTATGGTTCTGCCATCTGCACGACCACCTTCCAACACTGACTGCTGCTGGACCCCAACCCAGCAAGCAGTGTCTAATTCTTATTTTAGACTCCGCTTATAGTCATACGTACTCTGAACTCATGTTAACACTTTTAGAAATGCATGACCATAAAAATCAAATCAAGAGTGATGGTTCAGTGGTTGAGAGCAGCTGCCCTTGCAGAGGACTCGGGTTTGATTCCCAGCACCCATATGGAGCCTCACAATCTCCTGTAACTCCAGCTCTAGGGGATCTGACAACCTCTTCTGGCCTCATATGCACAGACACACACACAGACACACATATACACAATTACAAAATGAAACAAACCTTTAAAACAGAGAGTACAGATCAGAAACTTGACAAAATATGCATATTTCATAATTTCTCTGGTACTAAACTACTCCAGTACTTTAATAGCTGTAAAATATCAATAATGAAGATATTAAAAACTTGAGAAGACAAGTTCCAAAAAGGGATCTCATAATGCATGCTATTTCCAGCTGCTGTTCACTGATTACTTTAACCTTGAGTTTTATCTTTTTGCTGTTCTGGCTTCTGATTCAAAATTAGGGACCTGAGCAAACAAATTAATCCAAAGACTGACTTAAAAAAGACGAAGTCAAACCTTTTCCACAGAAGTTCTGAAGAATATTATAATTACGAAGTTTAAGGAAAAATTCAATGGGAGACACTGGTAAAAACACAGTTTCTACCTATTGAAAAATAAAAGAATGGAGTGTTTCTACATTCTGACAGGCTAGCACTTGAGAAAAGAATGTCTAAAACTTCAAATTTTTAACATTCACAGTCCCTAAAGTTTCTTGCAACAGACACAACTTTAAAATTAGATTCCTTTGACATATTTGGTCCATGTTGTACAAAAAATTAAAACACATTGGTAGAAGATGTGAAAATATTTTTTATAGCTTAAAGAAAAAAAAATCAATGTTGTTGCCTTTGGGCCCAAGGAAAGACCAATTAAATAGACTATAAAAGTCAAAATTCAAGCTACTATTTTCCACAAGACACTTCCAATACTTTGTACAACATCTTAATTTTTGTTTTTTGTTTTGTTCTTTTGGAAATTCAGCCACTGACTCTACTTTTATCCTCAGGCCACAAATGAAGAAAAACAAAGCCTTTAAAAGAACTCAAAGACTTAAAGTTGTATCTTCATCAGCTGATATTGCTAGGTGACTCTAATTCATTTTACTGGGCAATAAGCCATGTAAAAATATTTTTGAGGTGGGCGATAGCTAATGCAGAATGCTGATGATTTAAAATAGTTTGAAGAAAAATAATGAATTCATTAAAAGATCAGAAAACAAAAGTCTACTGCATCTGGTTTGTTCTGATTATCTAAGATATGAAACCCCAACTAAGCCTTTGGAAATACTACAAAAGACATATAGGTCAGAGAGTCCAGGTTCAGAACTAAACATCTGCAGGCAGTGTGCAGCTGAAACTACAGTGCACGTGATTACATATTTGACAAAACTCACGGGGATGTGATGGGAGCTCTAGCAATAAAGAACTGTCAATGTAGCACAAAGGACAAAACTACCCTAAGATGCAGCCCCTCATCTGTCAGACTGGCAGTAACTCTGATATCTAACAAAGCAGTCCTCAAGTCTCCAGTGAAGCATGCTCCCTCTTACATTCTAGTAGGAATAGAGAATGATACAAGCCCCACTGAAGGGAATATGGCTACACATAAGATGTTTGCATTGATTAACTATGACCAACAGCATCATTTATAGAAATAGATTCAAAAACCATCTTAACAAAAGTGTACCAGCCTGGTCCACAGAGCGAGCTCTGGGACTGGCTCCAAAGCTACAGAAAAACCCTGTCCCAAAAAAAAAAAAAGTGTACAAAATTATTCACTGCAGCACCATTTACAATAGAAAAAGACCGGAGAACAACAAAAAAAAAATCCCTTCAAAATTGTTCTTTCCAATGCAAATTGAACCTGAATCTGATCAGTTCTCTAGATGTGACTGTCAATGTACAGGAAATGCAAAGAGAAAACAATGTTTAATGACCCAATATTGACGAAGTCAGCATAATTCAAACTATGAGGAACTATACAACCAGTAATGTGGCTTCTTCAAGAAATACAAATCATAAAACTACAAGAGAATGGAAGGAACAAGCTGAAGCAAAATTACAAAAATTAATTGAAATGTCTGCATGGCATGCAAGCCTATTTGAGTAAATTTTGAAATAACTTAATGAGGCAATCAAGGAAATTTAATAATACTAACTAGAGAAAACAAATTATTGAGAAGTTAATATTTTCATGCATGGTGGTGGTATAACAGGACTTTTAGGTTCTAATGTTTAGAGTAACATACTAAATGCTTATACATGAAATATTATGATATAAATCATTTGATGCACGATAGTTTAGAATGGGAGACGGTGTGATGGCATCATAAATAGAGCCAAGGCCAGAGCTGATCATGTGTGAGGCTAGAAGTCCCATAGTGACTTAGCATACCATTCAAACTAATTATATTCATATGTGTAATTTCTATAAGGTTAGAAAGATGGAAAGGTATCTAAATGAAGCAAGAAGATATATCCATCTAAAACAAAGAAAGTCAAATCAAAATAAGTGGGAAGATTGTTTTAAACTTAATGAATCACAAATGAAAACACAGTGTACCACAAACTGGCCTTGGTTTCCAGCCCCGGTCCACCAGGCAGCTTGAGATTAGAGACTGGTCTTCGGGAAGCTTGACGTTTACCTCAGAGTCTCACCTGGCATTACAAACTCATCATGCTTAATGACACAGGGGTTATACAGAGCAGCATCACACCCTATGTCAGTAACGACATCCTGGTAAGCGGCTGAGCAGTCCAGATCTAGTTTGAGGTGCCATTTTTACTCCTGGGTCTACATGTCAACAGCCTATCATTCTGTGTCTATTTAGTATTGCCAGAGCAAAGTGTTGTGACCATTAACAGTGGCTGTTAAGACTGTTAATCTCCTCTGCAAAAACTGAACACATATAGTAGTGAAATGAAAAGGAAAATAGACATAATTAATACAAATATGCAGAGTGAATTGCTATCTATATGACATTAGATAGAATTACTCTTTGAGCTTGTACATGTTTTATAAAAATGTAAGTAATAATATAATCAAGATTAACAGAGATAGCATTGGTAATTCTCCTTAGTACAGACTGTTTGGCATATCAACATCTATAATGCTAAAATGGATTTTAAGAGCTTTATTTAATTCCCAGCTATTTAATTCTAGCTAAGTCCTGAGTCTTTTAACGAAACACTATTTAGAAATTATTTTTGTCTTAGAAAGTAAATTAAAGCAAAATGTCAATGTAAATTCTCTAAGTTGAATGAGAAGAAAAAAGTTCCAGAATTCAGGTACAATTCCTAATACATCTTCCTTAATCCAGATATAATAAAAATGTAAATTACATGAAGAAAAAAATCAAAGTATTAGAAAGTTATGTAGCAGTTCTCAAAACACGTTCATTCTCACTAACCAAAAGTGCAAAACAACAGATAAGGCACTGAAGCTGTAAAAGGACACTTCATTGATTTATGAGGGATGGAGATGGAAAAGTTGGGGGGAGGGGTTGGGAGAGAGAACAAAGAGATATCAAGATAGAGGAAGCCATTATGGAGTTAGGGAGAAACCTGGTGCTAGGGAAATTCCTAGGAATCTACAAAGATGAACCCAGCTAAGACTCCTAGCCACAGTGGAGAGGATGCATGAACTGGCCTTCCCCTGTAGTCAGATCCCATCATAGCATCACTTCTGGTATCTGATGAAAGCAGATGCAGCTATCCATAGCCAAACACTGGGCTGAGCTCCTGGAGTTCAGTTGCAGAGAGGGAGGAGAGATCATATGAGCAACGTGGGTCAAAATCAAGATGGGGAAAACCACAGAGACAGCTGACCCAAGCTAGCAGTAGCTCATGGACTTTGGACTGACACCTGGGGAACCTGCATGGGACTCACTGAGTGTAGCTTGATCTGTTTGGGGGGAGGGGAGCTGGCAGTAGGACCAGGACTTATCCCAGATACATGAACTGGCTTTTTGGAGCTCAGTCCCTATGGTGGGATACCTTGCTTAGCCTTGATACAGGGGGAGGGACTTGGCCCTACCTCAACTTGGTATCCCAGACTTTAATGACTCCCCAAGGAAGGCCTTACCCCCTCTGAGGAGTGGATGGAGGTGGAACACGAGAAAGGGGGGGGTAGGAAAACCAGAGGGAGGGAGAACTGGAGTTGGAATGTACAAATAATAATAAACAAAAAAGAATTCTCCTTTTTCTGCCTCCCACCTCACTGTAAAAGGTCTGGGCTTACAAGTACAGGAGGTAGATCTGGCTGTTAGGTAGCTTCTGAGGGCTGGGACTCCTGCAGGTTCTCATGTGTGTGTGGCAAGCACTTTACACATTGGGGTGTCTGGGGTGTCTCCCCACCTCCACTTAGCTCATGTTTATTGACCTTGAGATATCAAATCCAGTGATGTTTCCTGTAAAAAAAAGGTCTTTCTTCTTTGACCCCTCTGAGGAGTGCATGGGAGGGGGGAGGGGGTGAAGGGGGTGGAGAAGGGAAGGGAGGGGGAACTGGAATGTAAAATGAAAAATAAATTTTCCTAACCATTCCTTTAGGATCAAATCTAGTTACTATACAACGAGAAACATGTTTTATTGTAGTTTGTATTTAATATTATTTTATTCCCAGGTTTATTTAACAGACTGTCTCTATCCCAGCAAACAGAGCCTTCCACTGAGGGTAAAGGAGTAGGCTATGTTAGTCACACGTGTCTGCAAGCTAAATAGGAGACAAAGCCTAAACTTTGTGCTCTGTGGTGATTAACTAATATGGAAATAATACAAAGGTAATGTGATAAAATGTTAAGAGGAAACAAATATATACATATATATATACACACACATATATATATATACACATACATACATATATATGGGATTTAATAGTGAATGATACTAAAACACATATAGTGTGTGTGTGTGTGTGTGTGTGTGTGTGTGTGTGAGTACATTTTAACTCTATGAAGTCTCAGAACACAAGCCACAGAAAGTCCTCCAGGAAGATAATCAGGGGGCTTTTCTGTGAAATTACATGGAATATCTTCTTATGATGACAATAATTTACAGTCGAACCTGAGCCAAGCAAACCATACCCCACTTTGTTAAGTACCTGACTCAGTTTGTAGTGATATAGCTGATGGAGATCTGTAATTTCTCTAAACTAAGGTCTTACATGAGCTTTGCATTTGGAAGAATTGCCTTTTTAAATGATTAATATTAACAATAAAAGACATGAAAAACCATCCAAATCCTAAAACTTTAAATATTAATGAAAACTTGTAAATTGGTGTATTGTTTCACCAGGATTTTCAATGCAACCAAGCAACAACAACACAAAATACTATTTTTAATGAACTGTATTCTTTGCACAAGTATAGCACATGAGTAATCCTCAGAGATATACAGGTCTAAAATATATGCATGATCCTTTGTACATGACTCCTTCAGATTTAGTCAAATTACCCTTTTCATGGTACTGGACACATACTCCAGGGGAGAAATACATAAAATTCTAGAACAGAAAATACCCAAGAGCATATTGTTCTACATTTACTTTGTGTGTATGTGTGTGGACATGTGCCACAGAATACACATGAAGTCGCAGGACAACTTTAAAGAGTTGGCTCTCTCCTTTCATCATGTGGGTCCTGGGAATTGAACTCAGATAGTCAGGATTGGCAACAAGCACCTTTCCCCAATTACTGGTACCCAAGGGCATATTTATATGGAGAAAGAGCACTAGATTGGGAAATAACTTGTGGCTTGTCAGAATATTTTACTTCTCCTACCAAGTTGAAAATTGTTGAAAGTTAAGGAAATAACCTTCTTTACAAAAGTAAAGTTGAATACAGACTTCTTAATTATGTTACTAAGGATTTGTAGTGCATCTAAATTAATCCCAGCACTGTCAGGACATACGATGGATGTTTGCTGCTGCTCGCTATCATCAGTAGTAAAAACTACTTGCACATTCACTTGTGTTCTATTTTCGATGTAAATACCATCATCCCTCCTAGCAATTCAATTTACCAAACTTAAAAATTAATAAATAAATAAATAAATAAATAAATAAATAAATAAATAAAAGCCTCTAACCTTCATCTCTGTGGAAGCAGATGCTAACTTCCTGGCTCTGGTTAAGGCATGTAATTGTTGGTAGTCTGCTGGCTTATACCTGAAGTTTCTCATCCCATTTTTGATATGGATAGCCAGGTTATCTGGTTTTTGTACAAGCAGAAAAATGACAGTGAAATAATGTCACATCATTCAAACTCAAATTTTAGTTAGGGGAAAAGTATTGAGATTAGATTGTTGTTTTATTTTTTAAAAGCAAGTAAAAGATAATTACAACAGTCATGATGTACTTAATACTATGTGTCAATAACCTCTTAGAGATGGCTATCGCAGTCCTTGTAGAGCATTGCTTCCAAATGGGGCATAGAAAGTCAATTCTATGTGAGCTAGATAGAATGCTGCCAGTGCTAGAAACTATGGTGCTACTCAATCTACTTACATTTCAGACATTTTTTTTAAAATGTGTTCTGTATCAATAATAAATATTTAAGCATCACATCTCTATTAATCAAACTACACAAGGAGATATTGAAGCATCAATGAATTTGAGAAATGATTTTTTAAATAATACTAAACTAAATATGTAATAGCTCAAATAAAACTCTAACTACATTAATATTTGTGTACTTTCTCCACCCAAAGACATACAATATCCTAATTTAGTAAATTAACCTTTTTTTGATAAATTACAGGAAGAGGTCCACTAAGGCCAAGGCATAAATCACAATGACCCAAATAAGTGTAACAAAAGTGCATGTTTGCATCAATGTGAATAACTAATGTCTGCTGTAAGAGAATCCCAAATGTCTTCAGGAAAAACATGAGAAGGCAACGATATCCTGGCCACAGATGTGACTAAAACAGAACGGGTCAGGCATTCGGTGTAAGAAAACCAGTTTCCCTTAGTAAAATTTTAGAAATCAGCATTCTAATTTTGTTTCATTTTCATTTTAAACTGCACAATACACTATAAATCAAAAAGGACAGAAAGAAGACGGTGGAAAAATACCTGAGCTGTCGTTTCTCTGAATCATCATGAATGGCCAATCTCTTTTATTCATGCTTTCTGTAATCTGTCAAGGAACAAGCGATGGTTTAAATTTCACAGACTGATTTTCAAATATTTTCAGAGATGCTTTGACTTAATTATTTTCAAAAGGAAAAATTAGGAGTGGCTGTCATTAGTCTATATTCTATGGTATTTTTTCTATCTCATCTGTGTGTGTGTGCACCTAGTGAGGGTACACATGCAGTGTGCATGTGTATATATGTGTACAAGTGATGGCGAGAGGTCAACATCTGGTGTCATTTCCCAAGAGCCAACCTCCATGTTATTTGTTTAAAACAGTCTCCCATGGGAGTCTGGCACCCACTGATCAGCCTGTCTCTGCCTTCCCAGTGCTGAGATCAAACACACAACACAATAGTAAACTTATACAGAAGTAATGACCTAACTGGGTCCCCATACTTGTGTGGCAAGCACTATTGACTAGCCCCTCTTCCTAGGTCCTCTTCTGGGCCGTTCTTGTTCTTGGTCATACCTACTCTTTTCCCTCTTAATCATGCAATTGCTTTGACAGTCGAATACTTGATGATTAATTAGGGATGGGGGGGGGTGTCTTGAATTTCTAGAAAGAAACGCATCAGTTGAAGAGTGAACTCTCTTCACTTTTACTGCGATAGTGAGGAGAACGTAGAAATGCACCAGCCAGGCCCTCTACCCTTTCCAGGAGTGCCTTACTGCTGTGGTGTCACCTCCCTCAGTCTTAGACTCTGCTGCAGAGAACAGCCTCATCTAAAGGCACACCCTTCTGGGGACAGACAGCCCCTGACCACTGACTAAGCAACACAGGCTATTAAGCAAGCTTGGCCCAGCACATGATGCTCTCGTGTGGAAAATGTACTTTACAGCTTCCTGTTGCCTTAGTTTTCAGTTGTTCAATCCTGGCTCGCTCCCCTTCCCCTTCCTTTCATGGATGCAGGTCCTGATTAACACCTTGCACGCCCAAATATGCCTCAGAACCTGCTTCCTGGGAACACATCTGCAGGAGCACTGAAGTAAGCAGACATCTCTCTAGAAAAACACACCTCCACAGCAGACAGGTTAATTAAATGGGGTTGAGTTATTGCACCCTCATTTCACAAATGTTTGTTCCACATACAATAGGGAAAACTACTCACATCTACTGGCATTTACAGTGACCTAAATCTTAAAGGGAAGAGAAAATAGCAAGGGTCCATGACTTTTTGAAAACCCTGACAACATATCATGTGTAAATTGCCCACCAGCCTTGTGAATAAGGTTATACATGCTAGTGTGTAATTTCTCATGGGTCTTTAACCACAAACATTGTGTTTTGAGGCTTTAATAACAAGGGCACTCCTTGCTAAGGCTGCTCGCTCTCGGCTCATACTCACATCTTAGCCAATAAGCTAATTCTGAAATTTACATCCTATCTGCTCAGTTCCACTACATTGTATTCCCACTTATATCTTGTAACGGTCACTCTTCACTGGCAACTTGGTTGAATCTAGAATGACCACGAAGACACACCTCTGGACATATCTGTGAGAAAGCTTCCACAGACTTTAACTGAGGAGGGAAGATATGGGCGGCTACCTTCCACAGGCCAAACTCCCACACTGACTAAAAAGGAAATAGCAGTGTATGAGCACCCACATTCATTTCCATCTGCTCTCTGATTGTAGACACAAGATGACCAGACACCTGCCTCATCCCCCGCTACCATGCCTCCCCTTCATGATGGAATATACCCCCCAAAGGTAAGCCAAAACAACCCCTTTAGTTGCTTTTGTGAGACATTTTATCACAGGAAATAACAAATACATATCATCCTTGTTAATTTTTTTGTCAACTTGACACACACTGGAGACATTTGGGAAGAGGTACTGTCTGTTGAGAAATTGTGAATAATGATTGATATGGTTTTTGTATAATCTGGTCTCCTAGTTTGCCAAGGAAAAACATGCAAACTACACAGTGTTCCTTACTACATAGTTTTATTAATTTTTACATTTATTTATGTATTTACTTGATTGCACGCATGGGTGTTGGGTGTATGCATGTGTGCATGTGTGTACATGCATGTGTGTGTGCATTAGTGAGTATGTGTGTGCCATGATACACATATGGGAATCAGAGAATAACTTGAAGAGTTGCTTCTCTCCTTCCACCACGTAAGTTACAAGGGTCAAACTTAGGTCAAGAGGTTTGGCAATGTTGAGCCATCTTACCAGCCCCAAGTTTTAAGTTGGAATATAAAAATCTCACCCTAGGATAACCTCTGGAAATCAATGTTGTAAGCAAAAGCCAATTTGCTTCAGGAACTTGAAATCTAGCCTGGTCCAATCATGCATAAGTCAAACATTCTTGAAGTTTTTGACATAAGTACTTTCTCTTCAATACTATTGTACACTTCTAAAGAATGATTAAATTTGGGCATTACAAAAGCAATGAATTCACTTGTTGTGTTATTTCCACCAAAGAACTGTGTAGCCCATTCAGATTTAGAATTTGAAAATTGTACAAACAATTGGCATGGTCCAGCTGCTCCTTTTAGCATTTGGGGTGCTAGGATTAAGGAAAACAACAAAGATCTGACAGCCAGTGACTAGCAGAGCTACTTCACATAATAAAACTTTCAGAAATGAGGCTTAATTCATTATCAGTATGGTGAGCAAACCCAACCTGAGATGAAATTGTTCGGTGGCAAGCCTAAACTAAACAAATTTGCCCTGTTCACTCTGAACTTTCACACACTGTGCAAAAATTGCAGTATATGTCATTGCAAGGGACTGCCCTAGCTCCATCAGTGTGTCCAGTAAGACGGAAACTATTTGCTATAACACAGTTCTTAAAACCTCTGAAAAATAAAATACACAGTTCCCATGCACTTCAGATAAAAGATTGTCAAGCGACCCTCAAAACAAGTGCATGTCACCCAGGCCATTTAATATCCAAAGTGGCTGCTTCAGCCTGTGGTTAAAGGCTTTATGGTTAGTAACTGTTGCTTGAACTGGGTCTCCCACGCCAAATCATTTAGGAATGCTTGCTTGGTCTTAGAAAGTGCTCCATGCTTACATTGTGTGACAGCCAAGAAAGTGTTTGAATGATGTCAAGAAGATAAGCTTTGTATATAAACTTAATTACTAAAAACATTAACGCATCTAGGAAAAATGTCTTAGAATACGGGATGGATACTTTTATACACAATGTAATGATAACTTCTCAGGGACAAGAGGTTTGAAAGCCAGTTTAATATGTAGTTCCGTGTTACAGATCTGGTAGAGAATCTGAATATAGTGGCATCTTGCCTGTGAACCTGTAACAGTGGCCACACCCCTTTGGGCGTGGCTTCAGGTGAAGACAAGCAGTGTGAGGCTTCTCTCTTTCTCCCTCTCTCTCTCTCTCTCTCTCTCTCTCTCTCTCTCTCTGGTCCCGGGCAGAGAAACACTGTGGCGGTTCTTTATTGTTCTAAGTTGTTCTTCAATAAAGCACCCACTTTATCATTTATCTTGGATCTAGTGAAATCTTTACATCCATGCCTTCAATTGGCATCAACGTGGTTGGATTCCTACTCCCAGCCCCCGTGGCTGCCCTAGTGTCCTAGCAGTTAGGATTCGGCGTGCTGTCCACTGCCGACTAGCCTGGTGGAATTCCACAAGGCAGAGTCAACTGCGCCCAGCCTCACTGCATCTGAACTTTTGTTAAAGGAGACAAATTAAGTCAGGACATTCTGATGACCCCTCCCAGCTTCCACCACCCCCCCAACCCCTCGATGCCTAAGGCAGGTAGAAGACCTGGCCTGGAGGTCACAGAGTGGGAGAACTGACCCTGCCCCAGAACTCGGGAGAAAGGCCCCTGCACCTTGCCTGGGTAACACAGCAGAACTGACCCTGATGGTATGGGTGTGGGAAAGCCAACCCTGAGGGTATGAAAGCTGGAGATCTGGCCCCGCCTTTCTGCTTACTGCCTAGTTTGAACCAGCAGGGCTAATGATGGAGAACTTTACCTGGCGGTGAGGATAGGAGAGAGCTGGCAGGCTGACCAACCCTGCAACTAACCAGGCCCAAAACCAGGACTCCACCAACATCCACCCTATCTATGATCCTGAAGACCCAAAGTTATGCATCTCTATGACACAGGACAGCAACAGGATAACCAGAAGGAGTACCAGCCCAGCAAAGATGGCCCACTATCAATAGAGTAGCGGAAACCAGAGGTCTCAAACCAGACCAACGACTCTGCAATGAACACTTGCAAATAAAGAAATAAGAATAAAACGGTTTACTGTGTGACTCACTTATGTGACACTACAGCTTCCATGACGAGATTTTTCCTTTTTTCTCTCTCTTAATTTTTATTTTATTTTATTTTATTGGGAGGGGGCTGCAAGGGCAGAGAGTGGATAACAAGGGACAGGAAATGAATAGGATCAAGATGCATGATGTGAAAGACACAAAGAATAAATAAAAAGAAAGTTTAAAAAAGAGACAAATTAATAAACACACATGGGCTTAACTAAGTCTTTTCACCTACAGAGCAGGTGAAAAGTCAGGACTTCCCTAAAGACTAGAAAAATAAGTAGCAGAGTTATAATTTATAAAATGCAGTAATTTTTTTTCACAATGTTAAAAGTTATTTTGATCTGTTTTCTAGAGGAAAAGCTTTTAATATACTGAGGGAGAAAAAGTTATATTTAGACTTAAAAATTAGAAAATCTATAGCTATATTAAAAGTTAATAACAGTCTTACAGTGTTTGGTAAAATCCTTGTTATCTTAGAAAACTCATCTTAGTGGTAACTGATTAATCTACATATCCATACAATTATTATGTAGATATCAACATGCAATAGTTTGGATATGATATCAAATTATAATCTGTTCCATATGACAGCTTTCAAAATATTTTAAATGTTAATTCAAATATTATGGCTAGAATCTAGCTTGAGTGGTAATTTTTTCCTAATATCCAAAATCCTCTTTTACATTCTAAGCAGAATGCTTCATGTTTATTGCACTATGAAAAACTGTGCATTCTAGTT